GAGAAAAAAGTAAGAATTCTAAGAAAGATTTCAGAATTCTGAGATTAAAGCCAGAATTCTGAGAAAAAAGTAAGAATTCTAAGAAAGATTTCAGAATTCTGAGATTAAAGTAGGAATTCTGAGATTACAGTCAGAATTCTGAGAAAAAAGTCAGAATTCTGAGAAAATTTTAAGAATTCTGAGTTTAAAGTCAGAATTCTGAGAAAAAAGTCAAAATCCTAAGATTAAAGTCAGAATTCTGACTTTTTTCTCCTATTATACTGAAATGAAATTTAAAAATCAGTTAACTTTTTTTGTTTTTTCAGTGGCCCTAATCCTCCATCTTGTTCTGTAATATGAAACGCCAACATTTTCACTGAAAAACTACAAAAGTACGGAGCGACGCGCTGACGTCAAAACACAACGTCACTGTAGAGGAATGTGCGGAAACTTCTGCCTACTTTTCAATCTGCCCTCTTCGTCGAAGGGAAAGCTTTTCAAAGCAGGAAAATCTTCAGAAAAGTCTCTTGAAGTGCGGAGGTGAGGAGGAGAGAGTGAACAGGGGGATCTGGAGGACATAGAGCGGTTCGGTTCGGTTGTTTTTCGGGATTACGGCCGCAGAAAGTTAGAGCAGTCCGGGGAAAATGGAGTCGGTGAGGTGGAGCTCAGAGGCGCTGTCCGGGGCTGATCAGGACCATGGCTAACACTCCAAGTCTCGGGGCAAGGCCCAAGCATCTGGATCAGACCCGGACCCCGTTTCAAAAGCTTCACAAAACAGGGAACTGAACTTTGTTAAAGTTCTGTTATGGTTCCGAATTTATAGAAAGTGTAAACTGAAGTCAGCGTGTGATTTATGGCAGCTGGTCCAGTTAATAAAGTGCTTCACTGAGTTTGATTGGAGCTTTTACCGACCTCTGACACCGCTCCAAAGCAGAACCGGGCCGTAGATCAGCACAAATACAAACAACTTTTCCGTTACGTCCTTTGACTGAGTTTTCAGCGCAGATTGCAGAACTTCAAAAGTTCCTATTATGTTAATCTAATCCAGTCCTCATCTGTCCGTTAGGACCTTTTGGGTCATAAAATTGACTCTTAACACATTTGAGTGGCAAAAAAGTAAGAAAGGTCTAAGATAAGATCCAGTAAAGGCTATGATCACCTCCCTATGTCTTATTATTATATAAATAAACCTCTCTGGCCTTTTAAACTGCAATCTACAGTGATTCAGTCTAGTAAACCGTTAAAACCAGGGCTGATTCCTTTTTCGTCCACTTCCCTTAAAAGTGGCCTAGAATCAGAGACCAACTTTAGCCCCAGATGAAAAGTTCTATTTAGAATTTGGGCTCTGTTTGGATTTTGCTTTTTTGTTATTAAACACAATTTCTTTAAATGTTACTGTCGTGATGAAACTTTATCTTGTTATTGAAGTTTCTAAATAACACAACATTTCCCTGATTTCTCTTACATTTTGTGAGGTGCTGATTGTGGTCCAGCTTCAAAATGGCCACCTATCTGGATACCATAGGACGGTCACAGTTGGATCATATTAGATGATGACACAGTTGGTGAAATGATGACCCTTTAGACCTCTCAATCTTAGATTCGGCGGCATAGTTTCATAAGCTTTCCAGCTGAACTTCTCACAGAAATTAACAGTTTGTTTTAGCCCGGTGATTTGAATCTAAAAGATGCCGCCACCCCCTTTAACCATGGCTGTTTGGTTTCTGCAGCTGCCTGTCGGTGGGGCCGAGATCACCATGGCGACTCAGACCTTATTCTCAAGTGGGATGTTCCCTGTAGGCGTCTCATTGGCAGAGGACGGGCAAGGTTTCAGCGACCTGCCCCGAAACATGCTGCCCGCTCCTCAACTGGTGATGCTGGCCAATGTGGCGGCGGTGACGGCGCCAGAGGTTGGAGACAGTAGCGTGGCTGAAGAAAAGGAGATGATGGAACTGAAGACAGTGGGGTCCAGCTACTCTGACAGTGAAGACGAAGACGAAGGTGTTATCAGGTGAGGAGAAAGTGTATGTCACTTTCATCTATTTCCAAATTACCCGACTCTTAATTTTCATCCATTTCCCCTCAGGTACAGCTATGACAACCAGAACCAGCGAGAGGTGTGCATCGTGGAGTACCCAGAGTCTCCAAACTCAGCTGTCCAGCCAGCTGTCGCTGGAGACGGCAAAGAGGATGAGGAGAACCCCGCAGCTGAAAACCAGCCCCCCTCCATTAAGCTTCGCTCCTCTACTGTCTCTAATCGGCCAGGGATGAAGGCTAAAGACGTCCCCTCCACCCTGGCTGACAGCGCGCAGAAGAAGAAGCCATTTTGCTGCAAGCCGTGTCACTTTCAGGGGCAGAATGAGCAGGAATTTGTCAAGCACCTGAGTACGCATAGTATAAGTAAGATGGTGGTGGTGAACCAGGTGGAGGGGCGGAGCAAGAGCAAAGCCAAAGAGGCGGAGTCTGGGGAGGTTTTGTCAGGCAGGGAGGCAAACCAAAGCGGAGAGGCAGAGCATAAAGGGGACGAAGTTGCAGGAGACATCAAAGGGTTGATCAGGTGCGAGCGCTGCGGCTACAACACCAACCGCTATGACCACTACATCTCTCACCTGAAGCACCACAGCAAGGAGGGCGACGACCACAGGTAGGAACACCTGTGACCACCACCAGAAAATCAGTCCTGATGCTCAGTGATGAGTGCTTACCTGTGTGTGTCTGCAGGGTGTTTAAGTGCACGCTGTGTGCATACACCACAGTCAGTCAGTACCACTGGAGGAAACACCTGAGGAATCATTTCCCCAGCAAGTTGCACACCTGCAGTCAGTGCTCCTACTTCTCCGACCGCAAGAGCAACTACATACAGCACATTCGTACCCACACAGGTACCTTCCTCATTCTGTCTCTGTCCCCATGTCCATCTGTTTCTCAGCCATGATTTATCCTGCGTCCCTCTGTCCTAAAGTCTCCACTTTAGAAACACATTCTTGTTCCCCTAGTGCCTTATTACTCTCTGGTGCTTCATGTCATGGTTTGTCTTTCTGTTTGGCAGGTGTACGTCCATTCCAGTGTCTTTACTGTGACTACTCGAGCTCCCAGAAGACTCACCTAACCCGTCACATGAGGACTCACTCAGGTGAGTGTGAGACAGAAATGGACAGATGATGATGGGGAGCACCGTCTGACAGGTTCCTTCCCTCCTTCAACAATACTCTCCATGGGAGGTTTTGGTTGTCAGACTACTGGGACATGATCAAATCTGCTTCAGATAGTTTGGGATGAGATTGTGACACCTGGATGAGATGTGGCAGAAAGCTAGCCCAAGAGATCAAGTCATATTGTTACTGAAGTAGATCTCTCCTCCTGCTGGATCTCAACATTACTTTAAATATTTGAATTTTGTAAAACATCACAGCCTTAGGGGGTGATATTCAGGATTTATTGATCCAGCTGCCTCTGGAGCGGGGGAAAAAGGAATTTTCTATACCTTTCAACTTTAAGATAGTGGCTCCTGACCACCGGGGCCCCGGGCAGGTACTGGACCCTGTTTTATCTGGTACCTCATGTTTCCAACCAGTGTGAGCCATTAAAGTATCAAGGCACTTCTTGTGACACAGTTGAGAAATATTCAACTGGAAGCACTTGAGCCAACCCAGAGGATTGAGTGTTGGATTCGGACCGCCCTTTAACGCCTCAGAGAGAGGAAGTCCAGTCCTTGGGAGGCAAAAGTTTGGAGTCTGCTTATTCAGAAAAAAAGTCCTATGGGTATGAAGATGTTTAACTCTTGGTGAATCTAAACAGCAAAATGTAGGAACACCAGTAGACCCCGTGCCGTGCAGGTGAACAGTGAGAATGATGTTTCTACTGTTACTAACTGTTGATCTTTTTGTTTTTACTGACGCTGCCCTGATGGATTAACACGGTAACTTAACAGCCTGGTCTGTGTATGGGTGTGTGTGTGGTTGATGAGTTTTGGACATGAACCCTTGCATGAACACACTTGTTTCAGTTTTAAAGTCTTTAGTAAGTTTAAAACAAATATGGAAGTCAGTTACATCGATCCACAGAAGGGTTTAATTTGTATAACCAAAGTCCACTGGAAGTTCTTTATCAGATTCAAATCAGAGTTTATCAGAACCTGGCTGCTAAATATAGTCAGTCAGTTTCTTATGTTGGTTAATACAGAGTGGAAATTATCTCTTAGAAGCTCCTCTTAGAATAATGCATTTGGGTCTGGTGAGGCTCTCTGACATCTTCTCCTCTCTGCAGGTGAGCGTCCTTTTAAGTGTGAGAGCTGCAGCTACCTTGCTGCCAATCAGCACGAGGTGACCCGCCACGCCCGACAGGTCCACAATGGTCCCAAGCCTCTGTCCTGCCCATACTGCGAGTACAAAACGGCAGACCGCAGCAACTTTAAGAAGCATGTGGAGCTGCACTTGAACCCGCGGCAGTTCCTCTGCCCGCTCTGCAAGTACGCCGCCTCCAAGAAGTGCAACCTGCAGTACCACATCAAGTCCCGGCACTCCGGCTGCAACGTGGACCTGGACGTGTCTAAAGTCAAGCTTCGAGTGAAGAAACCTGGTCCTGAAGGTACAGATGACAAGTTGGAGTCCAAAGCAGCCAAGATGGATGACTCCCCTGCATTGGAGGAGGACATGGATGTGGATGAAGAAGACGACTCTAGCCCCATCAATCTGTCCATCAGGAGGAGCAGCAGACCCAGCCTCGAACCCCCACCACAGAGCGAGGCTCCTGACAAGGCTCCAAAGAAACGCAACACCTCGTCCGAGAAGGAGAAACCCTCAAAGGCAAAGGAGGAGAAAAAAGTCTCAATAAGGCAGAGGAAGGTCAAGGAGAATCCTGTGGAGAATGTGGATGGGAAAGAAGTCCAGAGCAGTGCTGAGATTTCTGAAAACAAAGTGAAGAAACGGGCCAGAAGGGTTCTCACTGAGAAAACAGTTTCTCAGAACCAAAGAGGGAAATCTCCATCATTGGAAAAACAACTGGAGGAACTTGCATCACAGGAAGAACAGCCCACTGTAAAAAGTTCTGAGCAGCAGATGTCTTCAGAAAGAAAGTCTGAGAAAGTCTTGAAGACGACGTCACTCAAAAAGACAAAAAGCCTTGGTAAAAGCAGGAAATCTGCAGCTAAGTGGTCCAATAAGACTCCAGAACCCACTGACACCAAGAATGCTGTAGAACCCACTGACACCAAGAAGGCTCCGGAACTCACTGATACCGAGAAGATTCCAGAACCCGCTGATACCAAGAAGATTCTAGAGCCGGCTGATACCAAGAAGTCTCCAGAACCCGCTACCAAGAAGGCTCCAGAACCCGCTGATACTGAGAAGGCTTCAGAACCCACTAATAAAGAGAGTACCCCAAAACAGACTTACACCAACAAACCCAACTGCCCTGAGAAAAGTCAGAGAGGAAAGAGGATAAAAGAAAAACCCCTCAAAAGGAAAGCAGGACAGGTTTTGGATCTTTCACAGAAGTCTTCCAAGAAGAAGTGTCTAAAGGCTCCAGCTGATGAGAAGCTGCTGTCCAAGACATCTTCAGATATTACCGATGTGATGCCCAGTCTGACTAAGAAGACTAGCAGAGAGACTCCAGCCAAGAAGAAAAAGACCAGAACCTCCACCAGGAGGACCTCAGGTCTGCAACCAGCAGTGGGTCCAAAACCGGATGATTTAAACTCTAAAACAAGTCTGTCATCAGAGAATTTGGAAGATTCTGTTCATTCAAGTGAAACTGCTGCTGGTCAAGTTGGTTCCTCCAAAGATGGACCATCCACACCAGAATCTGATGATTCTCCAAGCACACAGCCAGAGAGGATCAAGGAGGAGTCCCATCCAACATTCATCAAACCTTCATTGCCACCACGTCTGGTTCTTCCCAGCCAGCGCAGCAAGCCAGCAGAGGCAGAGGATGACGAGGGGATCCACAGCAGCCACGAAGGTGGAAGTGACATCAGCGACAGTGCCTCTGAGGGCAGCGATGACTCTGGCCTTAATGGTACTGGCGCCACTTCAGGGAAGATGCCTAACGATCCAGAAACACCAACTGAAGAGATCCCCACCCCCACTGAACTCAAGAGTCACACCTGCATCTTCTGTGATCGCACATTCCCACTGGAGACCCAGTACCGGCGTCACCTTAACCGCCACCTGGTCAACGTGTACTACCTGGACCCTGGGGCAGCAAGATGAGCCTGTCTCCATGGCAACAGACTGTTTACAGAGGTCCGGGACAATGGACAAGAGCTGGTTTGTGATCTAGGACTACTTTTGGTGGTTCAGATGGGCTTGTGCTGAACTCAGCGGAACCCGATTCTTTACAGGTCCAAAAAACTAAATAAGCCAGCTTCATGTTTATATTTGTGCTTATATATATGGTTATATTACAGAGCCCAGGTTTCGAACCGCTGACCAACAGTTCTGATACTATGAACTCCCGACTATTGGTTACATTGATCCAAACTCCTCAGCATCGGTACCAGTAGTATGAAATTCTCAGCCTTTGTGTCTATGGCATGAATTCCTGATCTCCAGCACCAACTGTCCAAACTACTGTTGTTGGTTTTAATAACTGTTGATTTAAACGGTCCTGATTTTTGTTTTCATTGTGTCGCCCCTCAGTGCCTTTGACAATCAGCTGCTTCTGTTGGGTTTGATTTAACTTTGTCCCTGGTGGTCCAGTTTGCAGGCTGGGCCTATGTTTCCCTGGCGACTGCAGTGATGAAAGAGCAATCTGATGATGATGATGCTCCCAGCTGTGTAAATATTTCAGTGCAATAGTCCATTTAGTCCAGAAGCCAAAGTGAACCATGGTTTTATCATTAAGTGAAATAAACTCTATCGGTTGTGTCAGAGTTCTGCTGATGGAGGATTCGATGGTCTAAGATTGGTTCTCTGCCTGATATGTGGATCCAACCGTGCAGAACCCGTCCTCTGACATGTTTTTTTTTAGTTGTGATTTGTCCTCTGATTAAAATAAACTCCCAATACAGACCCAACCAGGTCATCGTCTCATCCCTCGGAGAGTTTCCTAAAGTTCAACAATAAGGTTTCCTCCTCAGTTCCTAGTTTTTACGGATTTCTAAACAGGTCATCCAACAGAGTGGAATGGAACATCTCAAACAACCCAAAAATGATTATTATTAACCTTCCTCAGCAAAAGAGAAAAAGGAGTTTTCCGAACGAGTTATGTAGTCGATAATTCTTATGATTGTATTTACTGGTTTTGTTGTTTGTATATTATAAATTTTCAGTTGCATACAAAAGAACAGATGCAAATAACAGCAACAAACAAGTTTAGAAAGAAGAGAATAATATAAGAAGTTTGCACCAACTAAAGCCTCTCATTTTGAATAAAAAAAAAAAACAAAATTTTGACCAATAATGTTCAAAGACATCCACCTGTGTCATCTTTAATATAAATAGCTAAATATCATGTCACTTGTTTGCACTATGAGCTTTTTCTTTCAGTCAATTTCTAGTTATGTTTTTTTTTTTCTTTTTTTTGCAGCCAGCAACCCTCTAAGCAGATATCAGCAATTTTTCTAATTGGTAGATCAACTCCCTCTCAGTGCCATTACCGACAACAAACTAGTATTGTCCTATTAAAGACTGCCTGATGATAGCAATGCCAAAAGGTTTGTCCCTTTAGCCTCCAGCAACTGGTCTGGTGAGGATATTTAGGCTGTTTTGTTTGTTCTCCTGCCAAACAACAAAATCTCCAAGACACATTCTTCCAGCAGGACTCCCTCCCACAGGGCAGCCTTGTATGAAAATGCAGAAAAAAGTGGGCTTGATGGAAACCCTGCCTTGTGGTTCATTCCAGCCGAAGTTCAACACCTCTGTTCAGACATTTCAGTCCATTTGTTCTACAAAGTTTTTGGTGTTTTGTGATAATTGATCAACATTTGATCATTACTCTGAACAGCTCCCACCTTAAAAAATTCAGATGCCTTTTTTCAGCATCCAGACCAACTAACACAGCTTGTAGATATGCAAATAAACTATTCTTAGTCTTAATCCAAATGTAATATTGCTATAGACTATTTTGATCTAGTTTAACTGTCAGAGTTCAGAGCAGAACTGTTTTCTTCTAAGTCTTCAATTATATGTTAGCTCCAGTCCCAACCAAGTCATTTAAGGCAATATTCCCTGTTATTTCCTACTACATTTTAGATATGATTAACCTATCCCTGTACATCAGGCCATTTAGGTAGCTGTAATTAAACCTTTACTTGAGGAAAAAAACTAGATGAATTGGTCAGTTATAGATCTATATATAATCTTCCTTCATCTAAAATGAATAATCTGCTGCTTTAGTTGTAGTTCCGTGCATGTCTAAAAGTAGAAGGGGAGGTAAATCTTTTAGTTACCAGGTCCCTCTCCTTTGGAACCAACTACTAAGTTTTATTCTGTGAGGCAGACCCCTGTGTTATTCTAAGACTAGGCTTAAAACTTTTCTCTTTCATGAAGCTCATAGTTAAAGGGGCTCAGGTTACCCTGAGATTTATCTATAGTTATCTTGCTATAGGGTTAGACTGCTGGAGGACATAGTTACCACTTTTCATCATTCTGCTTCCTTCTATTCTGGAGTATTTATTTGTTTACCCTCTAACTTTCATCTGGTCCGTTCCTGTTTGGCTGTGACACCATTCTCGAGAGAAATATCAGCTGTGCTGCTGCCATCAACGCCTTTGTTTATAGATGTTGGAGCTTGGGCTGTTTGTCAGTGTAGTCCTGGTTCTCTGACTGTGACTAGTTGTATGTGCACTCTTTTATCCTCTGAAATGGGAGCTGGCTTGGAGCTCGTCTGCCTGGCTGTGTCTTTCCTGGCCAGGGTCCCCTTATACTTAGAAAAACTTTATTGTCATTTTGTATGCACAGGGTGTATACAAAACAGAATTTTGTTGATTACAGCTTACACGAGTTGTAATGATATTACAGTTGGAGTAGATAAACATTGCCAATATAAAGAGCAGCAGTGATCAGAATTTAAACAATGTAGGTAAAAAAAGAAAGAAACCAGTTTAAATAATGCTGCAAAGAGCATTAATATAAAAACGCAGTGCAAGAATAAATATGGTGCAGAAGGCAGTTGAAACATTGAGTTGTGTCCTATTTAAAATGATTATAAAAGTTCAGCAACATTGGTAGTGCAAAACAATGTGATGCAGTGTCCACTTTAGAGTTCAGAATTTCAACAGTCTGATAGTAGTGGGGAAAAGTTTTTGAAGAACCTGCTGGATCAGCAGCAGGTGCTGCAAAGCCTCTTCCCAGAGAAAGAGGCTTGTCCCTACAAACATGCTTGGTGTGAGGAATTGCTGAAGAGTCAAGGAGTCGATGTAATCAGCTTGTTTACTCAGATAGAAAACCAACTGTATCATCTGGATAGTCTCTGTAAAGTGTCTTGAGATGACATCTGTTGTGAATTGGTGCAATATAAATAAATTTCATTGAATTAATATGCTTAACAGTCACTAATCTGAGGACCCAGTTAAACATTTCCTGTAACAATAGTATCTGCACTTCAGTTTCTTGGACCACTTGTAACTCTTATTTACTCACTTTTGTGCTCATTGTCTATAGTTGTTTCAAATGTTTGCTCTACTCATATTCAACTGATGAACATTAATCTCTGTTGGAAATCTTGAAAAAAAATTATTCTCAGTGATATATCATTTGCATTCATTTTAATAATTAATTTGAGATAACATAAATCCTAAATCCACAGTGCAAATATTCTCTACTAACTTCTTATTTATTTTCCCTTTGTGTCCTTCCAACCCCTGAAGAAAATTAGTAAATAGGTTTAGAATCTGGGGACTTTTACACATGTTAGTCTGCACAAGTTTCTTGATCAAATGCAGAAATAAACTCTGCAAAAGAATTGACAAGAAATTATGAGGTAGTACTGATACTGATGTGGGTTTCTGATTATCTTTCTCTACAACCAGTTAAACCAATCACGTCATTTAATACAACGAGCCAATGAACTAAAAGGGCATTTAAGCCAGCAGTGCCGAGGAACTGAGCAGGAGGCGCTGTTGTCTCAGAAAAAAATCAAGTTCAGATATGTTATGGCAGGCTGTTTTGACATTTATTAGCTTGACTGAATATGTAATCCAGATGTTCCTCTTAGTCAAAATGAACATCAAAAGGAATATCTAAAATAAAATTCCTCCTACCTAATCTGAAATTCCAATCTAACTAGTCATATATCAATAGTTGATATATTTAAATATAGTAGAAATATATTTTAGATGTGATTATGACTAACACTAACTCTTTCATTGAGATCTGAAATTAGAGTTTATCCTCATCAGAAGACAGTTTTAGAATGTTTTTTTTTTTTTTTTAGATAGGAAGAATGTTATTTTAGATATCTGGAAGTGAAAGCCCATTAAGCATGAATGGGAAACGTGAAGTTATATGTACTAGTAAGAATTACATTTCATATATCTGAAATCTATATTTAAATAGGAAGAATGTTATTTTAGATATCTGAAATTTTCATTTTGAATAGGCAGAAATGCATTTGAGACATCTGAAATATATATTCAGTTAAGCTAATAAATGTCAATGTAATTTAGAATATCTATATGTACATTTCTGGCTAGTATGAATGTAGTTTTGGCTAGGAAGTATCTTATTTTAGAAATCAACAAAAATTGAACAACAGAGAGGATGGGGCTTCTAATAAATGTCATAACGGTCTGCCATAGTATTATTCACAATTACAGTCTGTGTGTTTGTTAGACTTCTCTTTTAAGTTTCCTGTGTTCCTGCAGAGGCTGGGTTCTGGTTTGGTACTGCTCTAGAGCCGCCAGGCCTTAAAAGGAAATGTCTGAAGTAATCAGCAAAAGAAACCATACAAACAGCTTATAGAAGGGCAACTTTCCATGAAAATATCAAGCCTGGAAGATCAAGCTGGGGTTTCAAATGAGAAATGCTGATAGAAAGAATTCATTACTCCTTCCAGCAAATACATCTGAACTCATTTAAGCCCTCAGGTTCTGATCTGTTTGCCAAAGAAAAAACAGACATCATAGAACACATCTAAACCAGAGAGAGAAATATCTGTTTATTTCCAGTCAAGTGCTAATATATAAACCAGAAGGAAGTGACTGCAGTGACCTCGTTAGGCTAAGCAGTTCCTCCTGCTTTTGAATTTCTGTAATGTAAAGTTAATAAGTCAGTCTTCACTATCACTGATATTTTCTGTTTGTTGAACAAATACCAGGAAAAGAAAACAGTCTGTGAAGCTTATCTGTAAGTTTTTTTTTTTCTATACAGCCATTATAGATTATATTTTCACTAAAACACTAACAGAGAACTGACATTAAATCTTGAGAGGAGCCTACCAAAAAACACAGGAGAGGAACTCTTCCTGAGGCCTTGGATGTTCCCTGCTTGATCTAAACACATGCACTTGCAAGACTAAGAGTTAATAAATACATTATTTACCAGCCTTATTTGATCCCCTATCATACATGTTGCCATATTGAAAGAGGAAAGGGCTCATTTCAAACTGGTCCCAAAGATGTGTGAGCATGGATACCTCTTGCATGCAGCTGGTAATACCTGTACACTATACAGAACTATTAAACTCTCACCCTGCTCTGTTTAAGTACGTGGTCAAACCACTTCCTGATGTAGTTGCTTTTGTTTCAAATTGCTTTGACTGTGTCAAAAAACTTTGACTGACCTTTATCCAGTGGATCATTTAGCATTAAATAAATATTCTTTGGACTGGTGGCAGAGGGTGCATTATATTACAGAGCCATGCTGGAGTTCACTGAGCTCCTAAGAGTAAACCATTCTTTTACTAACTTCTGTAGAACTACAGGCCCATATAAATCCTCCTCTTCATCAGTAAGATTATTGAAAAAGCTGCGTTTCAACAATTAAAAACCTTTTATCAATGATCAATTGCTTCAATGTCTTCCAGTCAGGCATCCGGGCTAACCACACTACAGATTCACATTTTCCAGGTGTTCCATGACATCCTGATAAATGTAGACTGTCGCAGAACAACAGTCCTGGTATTATTGGACCTTAGGGCAGTATCTGACACTGTTGATCACTGTATTTCACATTAGACCACCTGGGGAACTGGGTCAGCCTTTCTGAGTCTATACTTGACTGGTTTAAATTCTACCTGAGGGAAAGAGACTTTTTTGTCAATAGGTAACTGTACATCAGAGATCACAAAAATCACATGTGGTTTTCCTCAAGAGTCTATCTTAGGGCCTTTCGTTTCTATTACTGCATGCTCCCCAAATCTTTATTAGCAACAACATAAGCTACCATAACTATGCAGGCGACACTCAGCTGAACCCATTCAGACACTGGGTAAATGCATATAAGAAATCAAGGCATGGATGAACCAGAATGCTCTTCAGCTGAATCAAGACGGACTGATTTAATAGTCTCTAAACTAAAAAAAATGATAGAAACAGCTTTACTTAATCCAGCTAGTAACCACCAATCGAGACCTGAACCTTTAGAAAACTGATCAAGACAATAACAAAGTTGCTGTTTAATCACCTATAGAAGCACTCCAGGATTAAAGAACTGATGTCTCAGCACTATACCCACTTCTCCAGGGACCAATACACTACTGCTCAGCAGGAATTTAAATAAACAATGTTATGCACTCATCTTTTATAGAATTGATTACTGCAACAGTGTCTTCGAAGGTCTGCCTAAAAGTTAATCCGACAGCTGCAGTTGATCGAGATTGCTGCTGCCAGCATACTCACCAAAATTAAGAGAGTGGAGCACATGACCAGTGCTAACTTTGTGTTTCTAGCCTCTGTATCTCAGAGAATAGACTTTAAAATAATATTTACATTAGTATATAAACCACTGAATTGCCCAGCTCCAAAATACTTTACAGACTTGTCAGGGATTCAATCCCTCGGACCCCTTAGGTGGTTCTAATCTACTTTGCATAACTTGTTCTTATGCTCTAGAAACTCCTAGAAAGCTGTAAAATTGCTGAAACACTAGGTTGCTTTAAGTCACAATGAAAAATGCATTTGTTTAGAGTGAGTTTATACTATGCTCTTTATGCATTATTGATTTGTCAGTCTAACTTTCGTTCCATTCTCATTATGTCATGATCTGCCCTGATAGCTGACCTTAACTGTTCATTTCATTCATCTGCTGGTCTCTAATTATTACTCATCTCACCCACCTGCTCTTTGGCTAATGCTGCCTTGATATAACTTCAAGTTAGATGATAATAAGACAGGTTACTATGAGACATGAGGAAATATGGCTTTATTCTTGAATAAAAAAAAATCTCTAGCTTGGCCCTAATACACACTGGAATTACCCTAAACAGCTGACATCATAAGAAAACACCCCCACTATGTTGCTTTTTTTACACTATAAAATAACCAAATTATTATGAACCACAGCATCTGTGAATTGGGTTCTCATATGCAGTTTAAATAAAGTTGGACTGATAATGAATTAGGTCTAAATGTAATTTATGTGGAGCTTTATTTTAAAAACCAACTAGTTGGTGATTTTGAAGGTATTATGTAGGAACCTTTATGTTTTGGAAACATGACCCGTGGCTGTAGAAGTTGAACAGAGGTCACTTTGTGTCTCCACAGATAAAATTCCAGAGAGATTTGGATCAGAGCTCTTCCAGAATTAAGGCCAATTGAGCTCAAAGGTAATTTTAATGAAAATAAACTCTGTAAAAGTGGTCTCTAATGTGAATACTGAGAGACGGCGGATGGCGACCGGGGAGACATATTTGAAAAGAATATAAAGCTCATGTTGGTTCTGACAAAGTAGCGCCGCTGCCAATGACAGCAGCTTCCTGTCTCTTTAACTGAAAAGATAAACTTCCTGAGGACTTCATGGAAACCACTAACCTCCATCCTCTTCATCTGGAGTCATACAAGCAGATGGGCTTCCAACAAAACTTGTTAAACTGAACCACTGCTGATAATATTTAAAACTATTTCATGTTCTGATGCTGCTTTATGATGCAGCACAATAAACCAGTGGAATCCTGAACCAGTCCACATTTTCTATGTTTTATTAGATAAACATTGTAAGTTTATAACGTTTAAAAAGAAAATACACAACAGCAAACATATAAAATGTTAAACAATCAGCTGATCGGATCAGAACCACCCAGGAATTAATACTGCCTTTATGGTGAAGAGTGTGACAAGTGTTGACGTCAGCAGTCAGACGACTATTGCTTCCTGTTTGCATCTAACTGCTGCATCAGAGGTCTCCTTTCTACATGTCATTGAAACCAGGGTGACCTCTGATCTCTGTTCTGCTGACGAGGTGCCGTGGTTCCACTGAGAGGATGCTGTGACTTCTTCCTCACTGAGACTGCACAGAGTGCTTTTGGCCTTTTGTCTGAACTCTGGGGACACAAAGTAGAAGATGAAGGGGTCTATGCAACTGTTGAAGGTGCTGACCGCCAGGCTGATCATGTAGGGGACGTAGAGGTCGTCATCATCTTCTGCCAGGCTGGTATCACTGTAGGTCAGGAGCAGGAGGAGGTTACTAGGCAGCAGACACAGAATGAAGACCACCATCACCAGAGCTGTAATCCTGATGGCATAACTGTAGCGCTTGCCTTTAGCCAGCAGGGTGCGCAGCACAGCGCTGTGGCAGTACAGCACGATAATGAACGGCAGCAGGAAGCCGCAAACAAACAGCGTGCCGAAGTATGGAAGGAAGAAGTTCTCTTGTTCATTCTCGGGCAAAGCATCATGGCAGGTGGTGATTTTGGGGTCGTCCAGCGGGTAGGTCTGTTGTGACAGCAGCAGTGGCAACATAGCAGCTAGAATCACCACCCACACCACCCCGGACATATATAGAGATAATCTCTGGCTGCGCAAAATCTTTGCATCAAAAGGGTGAACCAAAGCTATATATCGATCCAGAGCCACTAGGGCTAGGCACCAGACTGAACCATACATGTTTCCGTAAAACATGGCCATGACTGTCCGGCATAAAGGCTCACCCAGGTCCCAGTGGTTCCCTCGGAAATGGTAAACAATTCGAAATGGCAGAACCAGCAACAGCAAGCAGTCCACCACAGTCAGGTTGATGAGCAGTGTGGTTGATGGTAGATTTTTTGTCCGAAAAACAAGAACCCACAGAGCTAACAGGTTGGTGGGCAGACCAACACAGAAGGCCACCAGGTACATGATTGGCAGGTACAGGTTGGTTGTTGGAGCCTGGATCTCCTTCACTTGCTTCTCTTTCAGAGTGGTAAAGTTACAATTTGTCACCAGCCGAAAGGCTCGTAGACCTGCAGAGACCACAACATATGTCAGTCTGTAGACTTACAGAAACACCAGCAACATTTAACTAACGGTACCCTGAAATCAAGTGGGCCCAGTACTTTGGTCTTCCCTGCACCTTAAACACAGAATATGGCATCTAAGGGGTCTATCAACCATTCACCATGTTTCTCTTGTTCTTCCTGCGCCACTCATGGCTGGTATCCTTAAAACTAGAAAGTTGTGTATTTCCAACAACCTGTAGAGTACATCTTTTGCAGTTGTTGTCAGGTGTTGCATTTTCTGTGAATAGCAAAGGTTATAATAGAAGTAGTTTTTAATAACCCACCTGTGTTATGCACAGTTTGTTCTATGAACTGCTCTAAAGAGAGTAGATGAAACCATTTTGAGTCAAACATGTTTCAACTGACTCAGTCCTAATTTGCTGCACTTATAATAAATATGCTAATAAAAATTTGAGGTGTTTCATAAGTTTTACTGAGGACTTACATTTTTTTTCATTAAAAAATCAATAAAAAAAAGTTTTAACTGACTCTCAAAATTTTTGTTTTAATTACAACAAATGAAACATAGTAAAGGTGTAATTAGTGTTCCCAATGGAAAAATACTCTTTTATCTTGTTCCTTTACATTGGTACAAAAATATTGCATTTACACCTGATAATTGTGCAGCTACTCTTGAAATTGTTTTGAAGGCCTCTGAGTTTCAGAAGCAATCTCTATGTTTAATCATTTCCTGTTCCTTACAGAGTTCCTGACAGGAAACCAGTTAAAGAATTTAGAACAAAATTACATCATTCTATAATAAAAGTAGATATAAAATAAAATAAGAATAAAAGGAATATAAACTTCCTTATATAAATACAAACACCTCAAAGATTCATAGCTCAAAGTTTTTGTTGTACTTAATTGAACAGGTTTTATGCAGTATCCAGTTCTCTCATAAAGTTGGTGATTTTATCAAAGGATTACACTGTTATCAAAAAACTGCAACCTGTTTTAAAACGTACTGACTTATCTGTGAGACAGACACATGTCCAGCTGTCAGTGCAAAGTGGAAGAGGAGACTTACGGAACGACATGCTGACACATTCGTCCTGGGTGGACCTGCCCTGAAAAGGAGACGGAGAGACGCTTCCGAAGGAGGGCAGGACAGAGACCAAGAGTAGAGTCCCAACAAGAAGCTTCATTTTTATGCTCCACACGTCTGTGTCTCCGTTATATCCACAGCAGATGCTTCCTTTTCCGCTTCTAAGACAGCTGTAGAGTTAAAGACCATCAGAACAATTAAAGAGGACCTGAGGAGTTAGACACCCTGTTGTTCTGTGTGAACTCAGGGAATCAACAGTCTGGCCCGGTCGCTGTTGACCCACCCCCTCTGCTTATATTATCCAGATGTGTGACTGTGTGTGTGTTGGTGGTATGTGTGCATTAGTGAGGACCACTTTTGGGGTTCAGCCTCTTACCCAGGACTCAGTCTGATTCACACTCTCATACTTGTTAAGGACTTGGTTCAGAACTAGTTAACCGCCTTGTTCCTGCTCACTCTGACCTGGTTCTGTTGCTTTTCAGTTCTATAGTTCTACACAAATGCTCCTCATAGCAGCCAGCTATGTGTAAGTGTATGATTCAGAGGGCCAGCCTGTTTCCTTCTTGACTAATTTAGCAGTAAATCATCTCACTGTAGCCCCACCCCTTACTCTCTAAACAGCCAATCCCAGCTCAAAACAGGAAACAAGTTTCAGCTAGACTTTTTGGGTTCCACAGATTAGATTTCTAAAACAAGATGACAGAGGAATATGTACTGCATCTCCAAGCCCAGCTAAAATGTTTCAGTTAAAACTGACCCAAAGTCACATTGCACTAACTAATTAACCTAAAAGTAGCTTATCTAGCGCTAGTAAAACTAAGTAACATATACACACACACATTATGGTAACTAACTTAAATCTAAATTAAAGCTAACTAACCTAAAGCAATCTAAACTAAAACCTGAAAAGTCCAAACTAAAACCTCATCTTACTAAAACTGAACACAAATCCAGTAGACCAGCTCAAGCCCACACATCAACCCTGACTTTGGGTGAAATACTCTCCTGGTATCCTCCTCTACAGAGATTCTTCTTAAAATAAACCCTTATCAATTTTCTTCCGCTAACAAAACTGTGTGATGCAGAGTAAATTTGTCCTCACAACTCCTGTCTCAACCTTCTTTAGATAATCCATCTGTCTTATGAATTACATCAGCAATTCACAACACATCATCTCAAGGCACATACAGAGACAATTCAACCAGATCATACAGTCAGATTGATTCAAAGTTTTTTATCTAAGGAAAATCAGTAGATGGCATCGACTCAAAGACAGTCCCTCACACCGAGCATGCTTGTAGCGACACTAGGGGGGAAAACTCCCTTTTAACAGGAAGGAACCTATATCAGAACCAGGCTTAGTGTGAGCAGCCATCTGTCGAGGCTGACTCGGATTCAAGGGGACAGAAGCAGACATACGGAAAGAAGCAGACTGTTGGGATCTGGAGAAGTTCCACCTTTCTCCAGCAGAGTTCGCCGTGGATCCTCCTGAGCTGAGCCTTCAACACACCTGAGGCGCATCTCATCATCAGAGGATCCTACAGTATTTAACCAGCCTTCAGACCTTGCCTCAACGCCGCAGTGTTTATCCAGTTTGGAATCCTGTTTCCCTTGTAAGCTCTGGATGAGCTTAACCTGCCTAGCCTGCCCTCTGAGCCAAACCTGAAGACTCTCCTCTGGATTCCCATGCTGCTCTGGACAAAGAGCTGGAAACCCAAAGTCAGGGTCTGCTCTCACGCTAGAAGCAAGACGCTGAAGCGGTTACTGAACTGCATACTGGGCTTTTCTGAAACCCATCATGACACAGAGATACAAAAGCCAACTTTAAAGTTCCAGCTCCACAGGAGCCCTGTCCAGGAAACACACAGCCAGGCAGACGAGCTCCAAGTCAGCTCCGATGTCAGAGGATGAAAGAGCACAGTCAAAGAAAAAGGACTACACTTAAAAACAGACAAAGCTCCAACATCTATAAATAAAGGTGTTGGTGGCAGCAGCATAGCTGATATTTCTCTCGAGAATGGTGTCACAGCCAAACAGGAACAGACTGGCTAAAGCTACTATGGTGAGAAAAAGCAGAGAGAGCATAAAGATAGAGGTTGAACTAAGAAATACTGCAGAATGGCAGAATAGAGATAGAATGAAGCAGAATTATGAAAAGGGTCCCTATGTCCTCCAGAAGTCTAAGCCTATAGCAGCATAACTAAAGAGATAGCTTAGGATAACCTGAGCCTCTATAAGCTTTATCAAAAAGGAAATATCTAAGCCTTGCCTTAAAAGTAGACAGAGTGTCTGCCTCACAGAATTAAGATTGGTAGATGGTTCCACAGGAGAGGAGTCTTTTAACTAAAAGATCTGCCTCCCATTCTACTTTTAGAAATTCTGGGAACCACAAGTAAACTGGCAGAGTTATGTGCTCGGTTAGGAACATAAGGAGCCTTGAAGTAACAAATGCATGACTAGTTTTTCAGCATCACCCCTGGACAGGATATTTCTATTTTTTGCAATATTCCGCTGATGAAAGAAGGAAATTCTAGAAACCTCTTCAATATGGCAGTTTTGGGAAGCCTTCCTGAGTAACTAGATACCTGGACCTTCTCCCCCTGGAAGGATTAACTGAGTACACACTGAGCAGGGGAAAACCTCCACATGATCCATTCAAGTCCTCATTGGAAATCCAAGTGAGAGTCCGCTCCTTTACTCCTCTGGGTCCAACGCTTGTCTATCTGTCCGCCCTCCAACGAGTTTCCCCTTCTCTGGGTTAACCCCCACAAGCTGGATTCAAGGATTGACAAGAGCCCCCTCAAAAGTGAGTCCCTCTCCAGTTATATTCAAGCCTCAGTCAAATTTCCTACGGTCCCGGAACTGATCACTGTGATCTCCCCTTCCGACTTTCCAGTTCCGGTTCACCAGTCAACTGAGTTCCAGATCCAACCTCTGTATTTCATCTACATTTAATAAACCTGTTAAACTTTTTCCCCTGGTCTCTGAGTGGTTCTCTGCATGTGGGTCTGATCGCTTAAACCAATCATGACAGTTTCAGTTCTATAATGAGCTCTAAAGCTAGACTGAAGCTCTTCAAAAAGTTCCTAATGGTGTAAGTGGTCGCACACTTGTTTGGCAACTACTCTCTCAATAGTTTTAGATAAGAAAGGAAGATTGGATATAGGCAGGGGTGCCACCAGGAATTTAGGGCCCCATTAAAGACATCGATATTTCCCCCGCAGTGGCTATAATTCAATCAAAATATAGAAATCTAACTGCACTATTGATGGTGATTTTAATACAGGCTGCTGGAAGCTATCCAATGTTTTCACTTTCCAGGATCCAGTACAAACAACTACAGGATATATATATATATATATATATATATATATATATATATATATATATATATATATATATATATATATATATATATATATAT